TTTTTCAAGGAATATATATTAATAGCAGCAACCAAGAAATGTGTTTGAGTCTGGTAGTAACCTGAGTAGGTAAATACTTCTCTGAAAACTGGTCAGAAGTTTCAATCAGTAAGAAAATCTCAGACAGGGGTGTCTGGGTGGCTCCGTCAGTTGAGCATCTGACTCTTAATTTCGGCTCAGGTCAGGATCTCAGGGCCTGAGATCGAGCCCTGCTTAGGATTCTCTCTCACCCTGTGCCCCTCCCCCATTCACGCATATGTGTGTGTGTGCTCGCTCTCTCTGCCCCTCCCGCTCTTTCTAAGGAAGGAAGGAAGAAAGAAGGAAAGAAAAAGAAAGAATCTCAGACATAAAATCCTTAGTAGGATAAGTTTTTAGGAGAGGGTGGTTTTCATGCAAATTGTCTGTAGGCTTTTGTTATTGTTACTATTTTAATTTTATTCATTTCTTTTTGAAATGCAGCCATTCATATCTCCAGACCTGAGACTGATGTACCCCAGAAACAACCATTTTTTTAGACTTTTCCATTAAATTACTTCTACCTATAAATCCTCCAAACACTTTGGTGCCTTTGCTGTTTATCCTTCCAGATAATTCCCTCTTTGCTTATTCTCTGAGGGTCTCCTCTGCTGAAAACAACTGAGGGCAACTTTTGGTACTTGAAAAGACAAATATCTTTTTCACTATACCCTTCGTATGTCAACATGCTCAATAATGAGACAAAGGTTTGAAGCCACCCTGTCACCTTGGGATATTGAGTTCAAAATGAGAAAACTCAGAGTACAGGTAAAAAGAAAAGTAATTTCTTAAGGAAGAGAATGCTAACATAACCCAAGCTTGATGTTGATTAAAAAATAAAATATAAAGAAAAGGTATAGTTGTAAAAACAAACAAAATGACTAACGGTAAGAAAGACAGTAAAATATAGTTTAAAAATTGGTATGATTGGGGCGCCTGGGTGGCTCAGATGGTTGAGCATCTGCCTTTGGTTCAGGTCATGATCCCGGAGTCTTGGGATTGAGTCCCGCATCGGGCTCCCTGCTCAGCGGGAAGCCTGCGTCTCCCTCTCCCTCTGCCTGCCACTCCCCCTGCTTATGCTCATTCTCTGTCAAATAAGTCAAATCTTTAAAAAATAAATTGGTATGATCAATCACCAAAAAAGTACATTAGTAAGGAACTTGTTTATTATATACTTTAAGCAATTTCTTTATTTACTTCCAGAATTACATAATTTTAAAATGTTGTGGTTTCTATTGAAAGAATATTTCTCAAATCTTACTGTGCCTGCAGTTCATGCTCAATACTCTTTGTTATTATTTTTTGTATAACCGTCTCAGATAAAGAGTGACTTATAGAATGGTTTCTCAGATACCTGCTACTCAGGTTCAATCATCAGCACCATCATTTTGCTAATCTGCCTTATCCTCCCAATCCCAGACATTACCTCCAAATACTGCATTCCACACTTCTAATTACATAAAAATCCATTGTTTTTAAAATTATATATAAACAGCCATTAGTGGGAAAACTTTTACAGAGATGCCACAAAGAATTGATCATCTCACAAATTCCTGTTGACCATACTTAACAATATTGTCTTTTTCCAGAATTATTTTCTTTTTTTTAATATTTTATTTATTTATTTATTTGAGAGAGACGGAGAGGGAGGGCATGAGCAGAGGCAGAGGGAGAGTCAGACTCCCCGCTGAGCAGGGAGCCCAATGAGGGGCTCAATCCCAGGACCCTGAGATCATGACCTGAGCCGAAGACAGACGCTTAACCAAATGAACCACCCAAGCACCCCCAGAATTATTTTCTATTCTGGCACCTTCTCTAAGTGCTCTCTACTTGCCTTGCATTCCTATAGCTCAAGGACAACTCAAGTGAACCCCTTGACTCCCACCCCTAGTCCATACAGTTCTGAGAGATGGCACTCTTTAATCAATCACTATAAATAAGTGCACAAAAGTGGTTTTTTATTGTTATGTTAATCACCATACATTACATCATTTGTTTTTGATGTAGTGCTCCATGATTCATTGTTTGTGCATAACACCCAGTGCTCCATGCAGAGTGTGCCCTCTTTAATACCCATCACCAGGCTAACCCATCCTCCCACCCCTCTCCCCTCTAGAACCCTCAGTGTGTTTTTCAGAGTCCATAGTCTCTCATGGTTCGTCTCCCCCTCCGACTTACCCCCCTCATTCTTCCCCTCCTGCTATCTTCTTCTTTTTTTTTTCTTAACATATATTGCATTATTTGTTTCAGAAGTACAGATCTGTGATTCAACAGTCTTGCACAATTCACAGTGCTCACCATAGCACATACCCTCCCCAATGTCTATCACCCAGCCACCCCATCCCTCCCACCCCCTACCACTCCAGCAATGTCCACAATAGCCAAACTGTGAAAAGAGCCAAGATGTCCATCGACAGATGAATGGATAAAGAAGATGTGGTATATATATATATATATATATATACAAACACACATATATATACAGTGGAATATTATGCAGCCATCAAAAGGAATGAGATCTTGCTATTTGCACAAAAGTGGTTTTAAAAGACATGAGAAGTCTTTTTTAGTCTCAGTAAAGTAATACAGACTGAACAGAAAATGTTCTGGTTTTAGGGACTGTGAGCCAGGAACTTCAGATGAAGACCAAATGCATATGAAAAAATATATTTTGGTCATCTGAATGACCAAATTTATTTTTCTTATAAATCACAATATCGCAGATAGACTCTGTAATCATTGAATCAAAACTTGTGATTTATAAGTTTCAGATGGTTTCTGAGAATTACCTTTCTCTTCCAAGTATACAAAAAAAAATATTAAAAGTACTGATCATTTTCTTTTCTAATCTTGCCTCAAACATGTTCAAAAACTGTGATGCAAACCAACAAAGCAAAAAAAAAAAAGTGACAAAAAAACCAGACTCTTAAATCCAGAGAACAAGCTGGTAGTATCCAGCAGGGAGGTGGGTGGGGGGATGAGTGATATAGGTTAAGGGGGTTAAGTACAATTATAGTGATGAGCACTAAGAAATGTACAGAATTGTTTCATCATTGTATTGTACACATGAAACTAACATAACACTGTATGTTAATTATACTTGAATTAAAAATTAAATAAAAATTTTTAAAAATCAGGATGCAATTAAACGTGTCACAGAACAGCTAGAATCATTCTTTATTAGCCTTCACAGAAAATCCCTTCTTCCTGAACCTTTTCTTTTAATCTTTCATTAATGCTAGAATGCTAAAAATTTCCCTTTTTTGTTATTGTTTACTTTATGAAATTTTTCCTCTATTCCTCTCCTTTTCTAGGTCATGCAAATTGATGTTCTTGTGATAACATTTGATCTTTCTAGGAGGCTTGATGTACTTGATAAGTTCCCAACTTGTTAGTGGAGTTGAAGTTTTAGTTATATTGGGCACACCTTTGAGATGGATTTTTCTCTCTTCATAACTTACCTGAAAATGTTCCTCTTTACACAGCCAAACAGGAGGAAGTTTTATTAACTAAGAATTAATGGCAGTAAAATAATGGCAATAAAAGAATTTAGCTGGGAAGGTTTTGTTTATTTTCTTTCTTGTTTTTTTAAGTCCACTTTTTCTTTGTAAGGACGCTGTGAATAAAAGCCTCAGAAAAGAGATCAGAATAATCAGGTCCCATTGGCCCAGCATTTAGCTAAATAAATAAGAATATAAATTTATTCCTTGCTCAGAAGCTGGCTGCAGATTGGATAACTGATTGATTTGATGTTAATTTTCTGCATGGACTTCTTATTTCCTCTGAGGGGAAAATGAATTCAGCCAAGGTGAATGAGTCCTGTTTTAGGTCTTACTTTCAATTTGGGAGGTTCGGAAACCTCCCAAATCTAGCAGGACTAGATCTCCAAGGGATCTTCACTTATGGTATCCCAAAGAATGGAACTTGCTCTGAAAAGACTGCAGAAGTTCTCTCTGTCCAAATCCCAGTATGTTCTGAGGATGGAATTGAAATGAACATATTCATGACAGGTGCTGCCATTTTGCCCAGTCTAACAGCCTATTTCTTTACAACGTAACTCCGTGTTGGAGAAGGTCCAAACTGTGACTCTCAGCCATGTTTCTGCCTCAGCCCTAGATATCATTATCATGTTTTGATTCTACAAGAATCACCTTCTTCATCTTAATGTGTCATGAATTGAGGAGAGAGATGAGATTTTGTATTTCACTATGTGATTCATGGGATGATTGGAGGAAATAGAGGGAGAATTATGGCACATAAAAATATGCTACTAAAGGACATATGACAAAGAGCTATTGACTGAGGACCATAATTCTTATTTTTTCTGGGTTTATTGAGGTATAATTACCATATGACATTGTGTAAGTTTAAGATGTACAACATGATGATTTGATGCATGCATATAATGCAAGATGATTGCCACCACAGCATTAGCCAACACCTCCATCACATAACATAATAACCATTTCTTTTTTGTAGTGAGAACGTTTAAGATCTACACTATTAGTATCTTTCCAGTATATAATACAGTATTATTAACTTTAATCCTCATGCAGTACATTAGGTCCTTAGAACTTATTCATCTTGTATCTGGAAGTTTGTACTCTTTGAACAAAGTCTCCTCATTTTCTCCACACCCCCTGCCCCTGGTATCCACCTCTCCACTCTCTTGTTTCTCTGAGTTCACCTTTTTTTAAAAATTCTACATGCAGCATTTGTCTTTCTCTGTCTCACTCATTTCACTTCATATAATGCCATAAGGACCATAAGACTTGAGTAAGAAATTCTCTCTCCATAACCTTTCAGCAAGTTACTTTACCTCTCTGGGCCATGATGGGGTTTGGGACTTCAATCATACTGTTTTTTTAGTAAGAATAAAAAGCAATTTTGTTCTGAAGCCCTTCTAGGTCTAATGCTTTTAAAACTATGCTACCATGTTGGAATTTCTAGGTATAGACTAACTTTTTTCAATGTTTATTACCCAGGACCCCAAATTACGTGAACTTTTGGATGTGGGGAACATCGGGCGCCTGGAGCATCGCATGATAACGGTGGTATATGGGCCTGACTTGGTTAACATCTCCCATTTGAATCTCGTGGCTTTCCAAGAAGAAGTGGCCAAGGTACGGTAGATAGAAACTTCTGACGTTTGTCACCTCACTCTGAATCCTTATGACATTGTACTGATGCCTGCAAAAGATTTTTTTGTCATATTTAATATGTGTTAAAATTACATCTGAAAATAAGTCAGCTGCCACGTAGAAATGTAATTCAAATGCTTCCAAATAATGGCATCTACTAAGAATTATGGAGATTTTTCATTAGGAATAAGGCATTTGATATAATTTCTTTGCAGAAGAAAATATAAGTGAAACCATTTTTTATTTCACCTAAACACCTTGTCCTCACACATTCTCTCTTAGCCTCATCCCAAACCACTTCTGACCCCATCTCCTTTCCAATCCTCTCCTTGAGAGCAGATATCTTTGACAACTTTTAACTTCTTTTACTCTGCATAGCCCCTAGCCCACCACCATGCACATGGTAGCTGCTCAATGAATATGAGAAGAAATAAAACAATTCCAAAACAAAAATTTCAAATAATGACAATAAATAACATTTATTCAGTTACAGATTAGAATAGTAAATTAGGTCCTCTCCATTAAGGACTTGCTAATTTACTAGCATAGCAGGCCTTTCAGATACGTACAGAAATAACTAGAATACAGGCAAGATCTATCAAACAAGAAACCATTAATTTCTGGGAACCCTGGACTCCACTTTGATGTTTTCTCTAGAATAGTCCAATTGCCATGAAAATCAGAGCACTGAAATGAACATATCAAAAGAAGGGCTTTCTTTTTTCATGTTTACAGTTCACAGGATACTAATGATGATCCTTACCCTTCATACCTTCCCTTCAAGAATTAAGAATATGAATCAAAGAATACTTTTAAGTCTGTATGTCATATCTGTGCCATTATAGAACTTCTCGTGTCAAGGATCACAACTATGGGGTCATGTCAAGCCAGTCATCATTATGATTTATACATTTTTAACCCTTAGTGGTCTGACATTTCTTTGAGCTACACCAGAAGTAATGACCTGACCTCTAATTCTTTAGTGATTATGGTAGAGGCTTATTTCCAACATTTACATGACATCAACTTTACTTCTTACAAAGGAATGAATGAAATGCTAACCAGTTTTAACAGTGTGAGGTCTTTAGAAACTACTCTCCAAGACTGTGTTACAGACCTAGTCTACTTTCCCTCTGAAAGAACCAAGTCATTCATTTGCTTCTGTAGTATAACTTGCTTTGACGTTTGGAGAGACTTCAGTTTTATGGAACATTCAGCGTGACAGCGTTATATTTGCCTAGCAAGAATTCTTATTCTGGTGTACTGTTAGTAATCTGCGAGTTGTATATACTTCATTTCTTAGTATATGGATGGATGGTTGGATGGATAGATGAATGAACATGGATAAATAAATAGTAATGATTTGCAAAAATATTTTTAAAGTAACTTTCCCCAAATACAACCATATTCAGTTTAAAAAATAACCAATTCAGGAGATTCATTAACTCTCAGAAACATTCAATAAATGACAGTGACTTTCAGGGAGGCTTTTACTAAGAGTGAATATGGATTTTATATTAGAAACCAATCTACATATCTTATACTGCATTAAACCTTTGTGCAGTTACGTTTAAAACATACTCAATTTCCTCCTCTGTGCACTCCTACCCACTAATTTTGTTTGGGGATTTTGATTTCTGAGCCCTATAATATTCCCCATCAGGACTGCATCTGTAGACATTTTTTCAGCAGCAACTTGATGTTCCTGGTATAATTAATGAGGCTACAGAATATGTTTTGCTTTTCCTGCCTTCCCGGTAGGGTATTTTTTCCCCACTGAAATTGCTCAGCCAGAAGGTTAAGATTTGCAAACACCACTTTACTCTGAAAACTTACTTTCCCTCCTTCTAATTGTCAGTATTGTGTCATAACATCACACCTTTTATTTAATCTCTGGGGCCCATTATGTACATGATGCTTTGTGTAGTGCCAACACCAAAGGAGACAGCCTCTCTCATTATGTACAATGCCTGACAGAAACCTGAGCTGCTTTGAAACTCGAATGTCTCCAGAAGAAATTATTTACAAAGGGATTCTGGCTCATTCATTCATTCAACACCTATTTGTCAGTTGCCTTCTCTATGCCAACCACAATTCCAATGTTAGGAATACAACATTCTAGAATGCTGAGAGCCAGCATTCTGGGAGAAATAAACAGATAAATCACAATTATGAAGGAAATATATTGGAAGTTAGATGGAGATCTGTGTGGAAGAATAAAGCAGGAGGAGAGGGCATGAGTAGGGGAGATGGGGAAATGCAGAGAAGGGAAAAAATCTGAAGGAAGTTGCTCAATTACAACAATACCATAGATTTCTGAGAAATCCCTTGGATCAACTTTAAAAATTAATCAGAACTAGACCTTGAACTTTCCTAAATATATTATTCCAGATCTGCATGCTTTCTTTCTTACATAAATCACTTGAATTTGAACTTTTTATTTATTCTTTAAGACAAGTGACTCCTAAAAGATTGATAGGGGAGAACACCGTCTTTCAATTTTTCTCTCTGTAGTTGGACTAAAAATGTGGTATCTCTTGCAATTATACAACAGTCATAATTTTTGTTATGGAGCTTGACTTTCCAACCACTCTGTACCCTAAGTGTTAGCTTTCCCTGCTCCCTGGAGGGGCACTCCTTTTAATGTGCCAGGGAAATAGATGATTTCACCTTTGCCCTCTGAGTCGCATACTTCTCCCTGCATCCTCAGCTCCCCTAGGGACCAATGGACATGTACACATTTATTACCCCCTGGAACTCCTGGACTTCTGTTCCCCTCCATGGGATGCCTGACCTCTCCCGGGGGCCATGGGGAGGAGGTGAATATCACCACCCTTCCTTTTACTGTTCTACCATTAACTTCCAATAGTTCTCTGCTGCCGGCTACATGACTTGAGTGAAGGTATCAGCAAAGGAAACTAGCCAAGGCAGCAGAAGTTGATCCTTGTGTTGTGATATGGGCTTCTGAAGGACTTTGACTTTTATTGTGAGGAAGATGGAAGCCATTGAGGGTTTTGAGCAGAGGATGGACGTCACCTGACTTAACCCTTTAGTCAATAATAGACCACCTGGGGAGAGGCAATAATGGAAACAGGGAGACCAGTGAAACTACTAAAATATTTGAAGTGAGTTGTTAGTGACTTGGACCAATGTGGGGCTGCAGAGGAAATGAAAAGGAGTCTATATATATACATATTTGAAAGCAGAATTGAGAGCAGAGGCTTATGAATTGTATGTTGCATGCAAGAAAAAGAGAAGAATCAAGGATGGATACTAGAGTTTTGGCCCAAGAGAAATACCACTTACATCATTGGGAAAATCTAAAGTATAACACATTTGGGGGTATATAGTAAAGGTTCAGTTTTTCATGTTCAGATTGAAATCATTATTAGACACTCAAGTGGATATGTTGAGTTGGATATACGAGTCTGGAGCTGAGTGCCAAATATAATACATTAATTTGGAAGTCATCAGGTTATACATAATATTTAATGAGACTGGATGAGATCAGCCAGGAAGTGACTATAGATAGAGAAGATGTCCAAGACCTGAGTCATCGCTACTCCAACATGAAGAGATTGAGATAAGAAAGAATCAGAAAAGGAGGTCAGTGAGGAGGCAGTGAGGTAGTATGTGTCATTGGAAGCCAGGTGAAGGAAATATTTCAGGGAGAAAAAAGTGATCAATAATAGGGTCAAATGCTGCCCAAGATGAAGACCAAGAATGGACCATTGCATTTAATGACATAGAGGTCACTAGTGACTTTGATTAGAGTAACTTCAGTGGAGTGGTGAAGTCAAAACCTATTGGAATGGAGTCTGGGGAATATTGACAAGAGAGAAAAAAAGAAGCCAAAAAGATCGCTCTTTTGGGGGCGCCTGGGTGGCTCAGTCGTTAAGTGTCTGCCTTCGGCTCAGGTCATGCTCCCAGGGTCCTGGGATCGAGCCCCGCATCAGACTCCCTGCTCAGCAGGAAGCCTGCTTCTCCCTCTCCCGCTCCCCTTGCTTGTGTTCCCTCTCTTGCTGTCTCTCTCTGTCAGATAAATAAATAAAATTAAACAAAAAAAAAAGATTGCTCTTTTTTAGAAGCTTTGATATGAAAGACAGCAGACAAGTAGGAAGCAAGGTCCAGAAATGGTTTTTAAGATGTGAGAAGCAACAATATACATGTATGCTAATAGGAATGGTCCCATAGAGGGAAAACAATGTGCCGATGTAGGAGAGAAGAATTGCTAGAGCAAGTCCTTGAGTAGGAGATGCAGTAGGATCTCATGCAGAGCTCAGTAAACTACAGCCTAGGGGCTACATCTGGTCTACCACCTGCTTTTATACTTTTATTGGAACACAACAATGTCCATTTTCACATGGTGTCTATGGCTACTTTCTCTAGACAGAGATGAGTAGTTATGGCATAGACCATATGGGCCACAAAGCCTAAAATATTCACTGTCCGGTCCTTTATTTAAAAAGTGTGTTGACCCTGGCCTAGTTCAGAGATAGAGTAGCTAAGCTCAGACAGGAGCAAGAGCATCTCATCAAGAAGAGAAGGAAGAGTGGAACATATTGGTAGAGATGACAGTAAGGGGTACACATAATGGAGAAAGTTGAAGACATTTTCTGATTGCCTTTACTTTCTCCGTGACAAAGGACACAGAAGTCAGCAGCTGAGAGTAAAGATGATCTGAACCCTCAAGTCTTTCTCAGCACCAGTTGGTGCATTTCTTTGAAGGTGAACAGGGACTGTGAAAGCAGATCATTCACATCAGCCCCCCAAATAGTGTTGTTTTGAGCATATTAACCAGTTTATCAGATCAATACAGATTCTTCCATTGGTCAAGGAGCTTGAAGAAAAACACAACTGTCTTCTACCTGCCCAATTCCAGACTCTTTTTTGAATATTCTGTTTTTCTTTGAGGTGAGGGGCTACTCAGAAAGAGACTTCTAGTTGTGAATACTACCCCGTGTAGTCATGCAGCTAAACAG